TTATAGTTGCATGTCATATAAGGATCGATAACCACCGAAAGATAAATATCAGGCGTAATTTACTAAAGTTGTCAATAATTAATCTGTATAGTGCGCAATATCTTGATAAGATCATGAAAAATAGCCAAACTGGACCCATTTATGAAACAACCACAACCAACTATCAAGAGCACAGAAACAACAAAAAAAGATTTGTATGCCATAAAGCTCATATAGGATATTTGCTCGATTTCTCCTCTCATAGTATGACCATGACATGCATTTACACTTCCATGTATCATGAATACTGTTCTACCACAGCTAGAGGCATCATTCAAAACACAACAACACCAATTTCTCTAGGGTATCCACTGAAGGCGAGAGCTATTTTATTATCTGAGGCATTTTGCTGAATATTCCGCATGGAAACATTAGACAGGTTGGGAGTTGAAGATCACTATGTTGTTAGGCACAATGATGATATCCAGTCACTTCCTTTCATCCGCACCAGAAATGACTTTCATAACGACATCAAGCAGGCCTTGATAGAATATCAATATGTAATTCTTATCTATATGCAGTGCATAGTTATAGAAGTTTCAAAAGCAGCAAACCATATGCAGAAAAATCATGGATGAGAAACCTTTCCAACAAACAACAATATCGAACTATAGATTTCATATTCCATTTTTAATGCCATTGATGCTATATATTTTTATTGCTTTCATCTAGACCAATTTTTTTCATAACAACATCCAAGCAGGTCGGGATAGAATATCAATACATAGTTTTTATCTATATTACATATCAGAGCATAGCTATACAAGTTACCAAAGAAACAAACCATATGCTAAAAAAATTCACGGATGAGAACCCACGGAAATTGCACCTCTGGTGCACCCACGATCGAAAACTTAGCAACACATTTTAAAAAAAATTCTGAAACTTTGTGGATGCGATTTTGACCAAATGTTTAGGTCCCTGCAAAATTTGGTGGCGAAATGATATCCGAGTAGCTCTACAAAAAAAAACAAAGTTTATGGTGAAAAAATGTGATCAGTAACCTCGGTGCAGAGTATCATCTGTATTTTGTTTTGTATGGAGATCATTTCTTGTTTTTTGGTGACCAAACTTTGCAAGCTACTAAAATATTAGCTTGTAATCACATCCACGAAGTTGGGTGCCACTACTTTCCCTTTTTGGTGCAAAATATGAATATTATGGCAAACCTCACCTGATCGGCCCATTCATGCTGCCGATCAATAATACATTGGGACGTTCAAGTTCAGCGGTACAAATACTGCTCCCATTATAAAAGGACGCGGCAGTGCAACCTAACACTGCACGCCTCTCTCTTGCATTTTCTTCTCATTCTTGGAACCTCTAGGGACATTGTGATCTTCCTAGAAATCTTCCTCACGACTCTCTGACTCGTCATCTGCAAATGCACAACCGAAATCATCAGAGACCCAGCTAGCAGGGTTAATACATATTAAATTTCATTAAGGGAAGATATAAGTCCTCTCCGCAGTCCCACTACCAACAACACGACTGGTGCACGCTACTGATGAACTCGCTGCAGCCGGCTCCGCAATGCAACCACAAAGCACCCGTTCGGCCCGGAGGGAACGAGATTAGCAATGCAAGATTAGTGTTTAAAAAGCTACTGAGAGGGTTAGGATGGGTAAAGATGGAAACCTACAAGAGCGGAGGGCGGCGGTACCTGGAGTGACTCAGATGGGAGGCGATGGTCGTCGCCCAAGGCCCAAGGCGGCACCAGAGGAGAAGGTCGAAGATGGCAAAAACCAGTAGCGAGCACACAACGTACCGGGGCGTCACAAGAGATCTCCTAGCGGGGGCGTACATGGCGTAGGAACCGACGCTCCTGTCCTTGCAGCAGCAAACGATCGTCTCCTCACCCGTGCGGACGCAATCCTCTAGGTTACTCCCTGCATCTGCAGGGCTTCACACACTCGTAGCCGTCCTATTCTCTCGCCGATCTCGACCATAGGCGCCGCCAAGTGAGGGTTGGCGGCAGGAGAGCAACACAATCTAAACGGCGCCGGCCATAAGTAGGAGCGCACCCAGCCGCATCGCCTCCTTCCTCCTTCCTCAGTCATGCTGTAGCCACCTCCACCACATGCTCTCATTTACACAACGGCGACTCCTGAGATCGTAGTTCAGATCGATCACATGCCCTTCCAACTCCTGGGCTCCATCACGGATGACGGATCGGTGGCAGGTTTAGGTCTAGATTGTCCAGGACTCCAGAGGAACAAGAAGAGAGGCTAGAGAGTCTAGCGCTAAGATATTTCAGGATTTTGGATCGAGGAGATTGATTAGATGGGATTTCATGCAAATGCGTCTTTTAATTGCGCGATCTGGCCTCTACATGCATGATTTTTTTTGAACCTTCTACATGCATGATATAGATTGGTATGGCTAAGGAAACAGGTATTAAGAACCAGATACGGGAGGAGATCTCGGTTAGAAAAAAAATCGTGTGGGATTTTTTTTTTGAAATTAAAAATCGCGTGGGATTGAAGCCATTCGTTTGATCGATGGGAGGGGCTGCTAACGAACCAAACGACTTTGATTGATTGTCGGTTTATTTTTGGGCATTGTAGGTGCAAGATGGAAAGAGCGAAAAGATTGATTAATTGTCATTGTATATCTAATTGCAAGGCGATTTGATTGATGTTGTTTATGGAAACTATTTTTGGGCATGGAGATGTGAGATGGAAAGGATCCTATCGTATGTAAGTTTTTTTTTTATGCAAGGGAGGTGTGGCATGGAAAGGATGCTATAGTTTGGTCTTTATGGGGTTTTTTTGGGCATTGCTCGGTTAGTAAAAAAATTAGGGAGAATCGCTGGTAGTGGGATGGGATCAAGGGGTGGTCCTCTTGTTCGATGGATGGGGAGGGAACAAGCGAACGAAACACTGAGAAATTAGGAGTAGAAATAGCCGTGTAGTCAGCTTAACCTGAGTAGTTTGTCCTGTCCAAATTGACTTTTCAATAGGAGGTCCGGTTTGAACTATAGCGTGTGTTGGTTCGAAGTGACTTTACAGCGGAGTAGAATCCGATTCGAAGCTGCTTAATCGCCTATGCCCCATGTTGCTGTCTCTCAGGTTTATCTGTCTACCGGTCTACGGAAAAAAACCATCATTGAGTAAACTGACATAAAACCGTGTTAGATGATAAAACATATCCAAACCATGCAGTTTGAGGGTCGGGGTTTGAAGGTGCCCAAAGATCATTTTTCATGGTGTATCCGGCTGGAACACTTTATTGCTTAAGAGCACAAACGCGGCAAACTCGTCTCAAACGCCCAAAAGAACAGGCCTTAAATGTCTGAAGTGACCGGCATGGCTTATATCCGGCTTAAATATGAGCCGCCCTGACGGACGTCCGCTATATCGAAGCCGTCTACGCTGGCATACCTGACCCACATATATTCCTCTTCGTTCGCTTTCTAGATCAAACTCTAACCACTTTACTTCACTTCACTTCTCTTCATCACCCTAGCCGTTTTTGAAAACAGGCCCATGCGAGACAGTGCTAGGACTCCTTCCGCCGAAAATTCGTTGTGTCCGTTCAAATGTTGCATGAATCCGGCGCTAGATGTGTCGTTGATGCCTCACCGAGATGATGTGTCCGTCTAACGTTTGAACATGGTGACGAACGCGCAACCCCTCCCACCGAGGCCATGGACGCATCATGAGCGTCGTCCGAACATGACACACGTACCCGCCGTGCGAGGCAGCGGGCGTGGGAGGCAACGACAGCCTTCACAACGGTGGACGTCAACGAGGCGGATTTGCATTTTCCAGCGTCCCGTATGATGAAGCAGTTCGGACGCCGTAATCGCGTCATGGTGAATGTCATTAGCTCATCCCAAAACGGATCCATAATCGATCTGACTCCTCCAGCATTGTTCGGGGTCCGGGCTATGATAAGAAAGAGTAGGACATGTAAGACGGCGGCGCTTTAAGTCTCCTGAACCGGCACATGTCCCGTGCCCTACTCTATCTTGCCGGTGACCAAACCAACATTCTGAGGAGCATAACCGACCACCAGACATGGACACGGCGAAACCGGATGTGCTGAGGTTTCTAATTTAAGTTATCTAATTATAAAATCAAATACTTGAGACGTTAATGTCCGCATACGCGCAGGGACGGATTTGTCTAAGTCCGGCCTCGGTGTGTGTCGGTTCGATGTGACTTTTCAGCGGAGTAGAATCCGATTCGAAGCCGCTTAATAGCCCCCAAGTTGCTTACGGCCGATGGGAGCAAAGGTGATCCGGTCGGTGGGAGCACATCTGCACATGAACCGATCCTTTTTTTTTTTTTTGAAATGGCACATGAACCGATTTGGTCCAGCGCAGCATATGCGGCAGGGGAGCAGGGGCGAGCAAGACCTTCACACCCACCCAAACGAAACGATCCGCGAAGTGCGCAAAGGGAGTGACAAGACCTACTGGTGCAAGCTACGGGCAGACTCTGAAGGTAACCGGGAGGAGTTCAGTACAACTGCACAGTGCACGCAGCAGAGCTGGAATGGGTTCTTGTTCTTTAGCTTATATTCTGAATGACGTGCGTTCGTTCAGGTAACTCGAACACACAACTTTCTCCAAGGAAGAAGAAAGATACAGTATGATTTGAAGAAGAGCAGCGTGAAAAAGATGGATAAATTAACATGTCCAAGGTTAACTCAAGAGAGGAATCACAAGGGCAACGGCAGCAGCAACACCAGCCAGCCTTTCTGGATAAATTTTCATCCCAGAGACGGAGAGCGCCATGCCACTGGCAGCCATCTCAAACGAAATCCCAGCCAGGCAAACAACAAACCATATTTGTTTCTCTGGCCACCTAAATGAAGAAGACAATAATAGAAGGTACCCACTACACAGTAAGTACAATACAAGCGGTAATAGTAAGAGAAGCCGCCTCCGGGACAGCAAAGCTTCATAGGCACGCACGGCGGAGATGTGCGGCGAAGAGGAGTGGGTGTGGGGTCTAGCCGGCGTAGATGTGGACCCCGATGGCGATGAGGAAGATGGTGATGAGGGCGAAGTAGATGACGGCGTGGATGAGGATGGCGAGGCCGCCGGTGTGCATGCTGCCGAAGGCCACGATCCGGCCCTGCGCCGGCAGCTGGAACAGCAGCCCCGGCGTCAGCAGCACGAAGAGCACCGTCGCGACCACGACCGGCCCCCAGTCCGCCATCTCCGCTCCGCTCTGCTCCTCCTGGATCTGCTTGCTTGCTCCTAGCTACTAGCTGCACCCAACACCTCTCTCTCTCTCTCTCTCTCGATTCAAAACTGGGAGCGAGGAGAAGAGTAATGAACTGGCAGGGAGGCAGAGGATGAGTAGCGCTGGGTTTTAATAGGCAGGCTTGGGCTTGGGCTTGGGCTTGGGGAAAGGAGTAAACGGTCGGCGGGCCACGCGGAGCGCTCACGGAGGCACACAGCGGCACGCGAACCTGCTCCAGTGAGCCGCGCGGGCTCCCGTAGTGTCATACACGTCGTGTAGATGCAGTGGGTGGAAAGGCTCTCTATCTCTATCTCTCGCGGGGGGAAAGGGCGGTGCGCACCGCCACGTGAACATCTCCGGTGAGTAGGATCCAAATCCGCCAGTCGTCGGCTTGGATCCAAGCGCTAGTACGCAGCACTACACTATTTTGCTTCTCGACGATCTGACCTCGGACCTCGCGCAAACAAGGCTGTAGATTCACGTGATGGTGGTAGTAGAAGTAGTATCTGCCATCACTGTCCACTAGTTCTCGTGTGCTGTCGAGTCGGCGAAATCCAAAATCTGTCGCTCGTGCACGTTCTCTGCTTGGTAACAGGCAGGGGAGTTCGATAAAGAAAAGGATCACAAGAAGAAGAGGGGTCTGACAATGAAGCCATGAACGAGCAGAAATGTTTTCTTTTCTTTTCTTTTCATTGTGCGGTGCTTTTGCAGGGGATGTGAAGAAAGCGGGAAGTTTCCGTGCGGAAAGAGGAAAAAAAAAACACATACACACACACATATACTTCCCGTTTCTCTACACAATGCAGGAAAGAATATCTTTCCCAACAGAAGCACGAAAGGAATGACTGGGACATGTTACCATACCGACACCATTTGTTCCGCAAAGAAAGGACCGACACCATCTGGCATTTTTAGTTACCTCATGCCGTGGCTACTCATGTTGTTTTTTTTGGGTAGCACTAGCAACCATGCACATCGGAACCACCTATCCATTGATCCATAAACTGTTCGCCAGATTTTGGATGGTCATACCTTGATGTTGTCTGTTGAAATTTGATACTTTGGTGAACATGGGTCCACTCACACCCAATTGACAAAAAAAAAACCTCCACTCAATTCATCAAACATCATTACGGTAAAAAACACACACCAAAAATACAATAAATTACATTCATATATGTAAAGCACACAACGACGACTACAAGCACCAAAGCGAGCTCGCTAAGTGCCAATATGCAGTTGGTAACTTGCCCAATTTGGAAAAACGAAGAAGGTGTGTCGTCGTCATAGCGCCCCCTCTTTCATCAGAGTCGGGCAAATCTTGTTGTAGTAGACAGTTGAAAAGCGGTTATGTTAGGGTCCAGGGCCGGTCCTGAGTTTTCGGGGGCCCGGGGCGAATCTAGAACTCGGGGCCCTTTAGTATCAACAGGGACATAATAATCAATATGTCTATATATGAGATGTACCAAACATTATTTCATGTGCACTGAAAGGCAGTACTCATATCAAATTACGTATGCACATCTTAGAAATTTCTTACAACATTCTGCGATGCATCATTATCAATCTCATCTAGTAATTGTAGTTGCTGGATGCATGCCTTTTACTAGGCGACATGAGGTGCTGAAATTTAAAGAAATAATTGGTAATTCAAAACTAGCTGGAAACTACAAAAATACTAAATCAGTTAATAAAATCTTACCGATTGTAAAGTCGAGCGCTCACAAATTACAAGTGCATAAAGCCCAATAATATGTCACTTAACAGTGTCCAATCAGTCGATGATCGTCAATGTCCTGTTGTAATAATGATAACACGGTCATGATCTGTAACTTTGTAGAAATCACTAAGGCATAGGCTTGTAGGCTACCTTTTCTACTGGGATTCGTGTGTGGCCGCGTGGACAGCGGAGACTGCCGATTGCCACTGGCCGTTCCCGTGGCCTCCTCGCTGTTGTTCGATCTGTTCCTAGCGGCCGCAGCGGTTGCAGGCGCTACGAGGACAAGAGGTGATGAAGTCAAGGTTAGGGATAAGTCCATGCGGTTGTCAAAGGCGATGGCGTCGCTAGGTGATCTGGGATTAGGTAAAACTGAAGGCAATCAGACCAATCAGGCGAGAAATCATTCTGTCCCGTGCCATCTGCGAGCGTCGTGCGACTCGTACGCGCGTGATGGGGGCTGGAATCTTGGACGTTCAGTTATATCCAATTGCTATTTTGACCAGGCCAGGTTCAACACGACAACACATACAACATTGCATTATTTTTCTTCTCTAACAGGCTTAATCTATATTAAGTGCACGTACCTGGGGGGCCCTCTGTTCTTGGGGCCCGCGGCGGTCGCCCCCCTGCCCCCCATCAGGACCGGGCCTGTTAAGGTCCCAAAGGACCAGCACCCCTGAACAACAACCGTCACCAAAAAGGAGACACGTAGATCGGAAGGATCCAACATCTGGACACACGAAAGCAGACGAACAAAAACTGAATCAAATCAGATCCATTGTAGACAAACACCGCCCGAAATCGACGTGATCCTCGAGAGACTCACCTTCACCCGCCCTCTAACGATGCTACACAAACCATCGAGACGGTGCTTAGGCAGGGAGAATTTTATTCCATCTTCAGGGAGCCGCTTCCGCCTCATCTTCCTGAGCATGACACAAATTATAAACAAACTAAAAAATAACTAAAAAGGGAGCAATAGCCTTTCCCTGGCAAGAATCAAGATCTACCGCGCCTCCATGGCTGATATGGACATGACTATCGCGGATGTGACCCAAAGTATTTCAAGAATATATATTTTCCAGGTGATTTCAAATAATAATAATAATTTATATAATTTTGTTATTCAAGAAGAAAGTACAACACTTTGTTTTATTATCTGCAGAATCATCCAATATTTTTCCAAGGCACGTGTGAAGATGAAGTATATGCAACCATTGACAGAGCCTAGAAGAAAATCACTTTTCAACCCAACACCATGTCACGTGCACATGGGCCAAAGGAACTTCTTTTTACTCAATGGTTCAAGATCAGCCACGTGGGCCATATGATTTGGGCTGCACCAAGTATTTCTCATGAAGCGTACTCAAGGCCTGGGACTCTGCCCACGTAACGGCGTACTCGGCCGCCGATCGTTCCGCCGACGTACTCGGCCGTATTGACTGTTAATAAATAGTCGTCATCTATTAGGTTTAGATGCGGGTTTTGTTTAAAGAAGTTTAGCTATTGCTGTTTTTATTTGTCTTTGCTCGTAGCGGCTAGTGCGACCGTCAAGACATCTTATTGGAATCCTAATTTGTGAGATTTATTTATCTAGCATATCCGCAATTTTTAGATTGCTTGACTATTATTTTCTTACATGTTCTTCTATTTGCTTGTAGGAAAAATCCTTCGTGGATAGGTCGATCACGCCGTTGGCTCGGTCGATAACACTGTGGAGTTGGTTCAGCGATTGCCGTGGATATCAGCCGTGTATGGTTCTTCTTGTACGGTTGGTAGCCGGATCGTAAGGATCAAATCCCATCTAAAATCGTAGTTATTTCCCTTCCATCAAAAGACCGGGCCCTAGTTCATATCAATGGCCCTTAGGACACAGAAGATGAGGTAGGTCGATAGCAGCGCCGACAGATGCCAAGAGAACTAGTTAAATCTATGACCAGACAACCCATTGCATCAAAAAGTGCATGCAAATTTGGGTTAAACAGAACGTGGCAAAAAAGTGTTAAGCGGAGAAAATTGCCATGCTAGAAAACAAAAAGATCGCCATGATACACACAGAAAAAATTGGCACGCATGTCTAGAAAATTTACCATGCTCAAATATAGAAAACTGCCACTCTACAAGACGGTGATTTGCCCCGCTACAAATAGAGAATTGCATTGTTTCAAAAAAATATAAAATAGATAATTGCTAGCGGACTGAGCCTAATTTAGATGGTTAGGTTTTCTTTGGTGGAACCAGCCCACTAGGGTAAGTCCTAAACTTGGCACAAGTGCTTGCTATTGTTGAATTTATTTTAGGCTTTCTGATAATGTTCGTTCATTGAGAGGTGATGTTCTGATATTGCCACAAATGACTAACTAGTAGAATGATCGTGCATTGCTATGGGTTACAATGCATATAAATGAATCAAACAAACGATAAAGGTCGTCTCCAAGGTTGAAAACTCATTTCTTCCTCACATTAATTGGATCTTGCGTACATATTCAAAATCTTCTTGCACACCAGACTGCCTTGGTTGCTTCTTTTTTACCGGTAAATCACACTCCTTTTTTTCTCCCAACAAAAATGTTTCTCATGGTGATGAATGGATATAACTACAACCATAATTAAATATCAAGAGCTAAAAAATCTTTAATCAAAGATGTTAAGAATGTCCGTGTTGAGAAATGTTGTAGAAAACAAAAAAAAGTCGCCCTATGATCACCCAAGAACAATATGAAGATGCATAACGGGTTGTGATCAACAATCGTTACCGACTCCGGGAGTGCAGCGGAAGTAGACGAGTCGGTGTAGATCGTACTTGGAGTCCCTTGAACTTCGATGACGATCCCGCGTACCGCCCTCGTACGGAAGACCAAAATCACGGCCTCTCTAGCTACTTGGTTGCAAGTGTACGGTCTTCACTATCTGACAGCGCTTCATCAACCAGAGCTAATCGTCGCCAGAGAATTAGAGGGAGGATATAAGAACAACACGGGGTTTATAATTATGAAGATTAGAGGTGGCTAGGGCTCTCTCTAATTGGTCAACTAGGACTAGCTAGAACGTGCACTAGATCAACTAGAGGAGGCTCCAAAACTTGTATATCCATAGTGTGAAAATCCTCTAGTATATATAGGTCAGAGGGGAGAGAGAGGCCAACCACCAAGGGGGAAAGTCCCCCTTGGGGTGTTGGCCTAGGGAGAGGGAGTAGGACTCCATCCCCTAGTCCAATCCGCCCCCCTCCCCACAAGGAAAGTGTGTGCCTTCC